TGTGCTGACACCCATTATCGATAAGTAGGTCTGACGTTTTGCTTATAATATTAATTCATATCCTATCCAGTTTGGGTTAGATACGCGCGCCTCAGTTCCAGTCCGGTTGTGTGCTCTTCTTTCTTCAGGCCTTCCGTCAGATGTGACGGCATAATAGTTGCCGTGGCAGCCACTCTCAATTAGTAATCACATTCTAAACCCTGTGACACAACGTGTTTAACTGGCAAATAATTAATGTTTCTACAAGCGTTCTGCTTTTTCCGGTATCCCAGAGAAACACTTCTCGTTGTCGGACACAATGACCTTATCTCTAATATCTGTGGAACATAACTTGGAGGATACAAGGAAGAGAAGTAAGCATGAAAAATCCGAACCGTAAGGGAAGTTTTGCAGTGGCTGAATACCTCGAAGCACAAGCTGATCGTTCAAGCTTTAGGTATTGTGGGTTTCTATAGGAGTTCCGGGTCGAAATCAGCTCGAAGAACGTTCAGCGCCATTTGGGGTACAGTACGGAGTTCTTAATTATTAAGTCAAAACACAGTTGTTATAATCCGACGTTTCAGTTACCATGGTCGACCCTTCTCAAGGATTTCTACAGTCAGTTGAATACGAGTCAAATGCAGCGACACTTGGGTCCACTACCGTGTCTTCTGATTGGTGCATCCCTGTGATCAGTTAACAGTCAGATTGGGTCAATGTGTGTGTGTTGTGTGTACACCCGGGTTAGAATCTGCTTCCGTTTGTTGTTGTGCAGGTTGTGATGCTTCATTTTTGGTATCCTTGACTGACATCTGGCTTCTATCTGAGTGGCTACCAACCAAGCCACAGAACATGCCCAATGTCTCTGAGGTTTCCCTCCATTCCTTTGTCACATAGTAGGTTGCTTGTTGTGAGTGAAATGTGCGGCCGTGTGGTCGTACTACAAATGGAGTTTTATTGGGACACAGTGAACGCTGTGAGAGGTTGGGAGGTTCGATGAGGTGAGGCTAACTAGGTCGGTGGGTCATAGATTGAGGCTTGTCACCTACGGTCATGAGAAATCCGTGTATGATATAGTGGTGCAGTTTTGCATCGGAAACCTATGGAAATGGTCGTCCGCTTTAATCACAGTCGATCAGGGCAGAATAAGTGTTTTGCTGATTGCTGCGGATGCTAGGACACCGAGGCGCATAAAGTTGTCGGTAGGATAAGAACAAACACAGCGAGAGACTTGCGACAAACACTTGGAT